TTGTGTGTTTGCATCAGCTCACCACCACTTTGTCCAGAGCCATGTACTTTGAGAGCCTCATCTCCACGTCAGGGAGGGTCAGTTTGAGGTCCTGACACACTTCTCCCATGAAGCTGTACTCGCAGATGTCCAGGCGGATGAGTTCCTCTCTCAGCTCCACCACCCGGCCGGTGACGCCCTCCAGTAGTTTGCCTAGGTAATACACACGCTCATTTTGTGGGTTATTTTATCACTTTACCCACCCCTAATTAACATTTGAATCTAAGAAGACCCATTCCTCCTTTTGTATTTCAAACACATCCCGTTAATTTGTACAGAATAAACCAGCACTGACACCCACATAAAGCTAACAGGTAGAGTAAAGTGGAAAGTTTAAGTGTATTGGTTTACCATTTCCTTTAAACACTGTTAGGTTATTTAAGATGCAGGACCTTAGAAATTCCAGTCTGTCACCAATAGGACCGAGCCAAATGGGTTGACCGTCTTGAAATATTGACAAAACAACCCGAATTGAATAACGCCCAAAGCAGGATTTGAACCAGAGGCATCCGTTCCGTTGTCATGCAGGATACCTACAGGGCTAACAGAGCACCCTAATAGGATGAGAACCTTCTTAAAACCTTCGAATTGTGATACAGGAATGCACAGTACCTACAGTGGTAAATGAGGGCGGGGGGTGGGCTTTTTAAGGGGAAGAGGGGGTTCTTTAGTAAAGAGAAGTAAATCAACACTATAAAGATTAAAAAGTATAAAGAAACAGCAAAAAGGACAAATAGAAACAACAGAGAGAATAGGACCTGCCATTAGCGCCCTCATACCACCAGCGAATGAGGAGGAAGGGGGGAGGGGGGGGATAGCACTGCATTCATCCTTGACTGAGGAAACTATATCTTAACAATGTGTTAAGTATGTGGATATAAGCGTGGTGCGTCGATTTGGTTTTTTACCTATACTTAAAAGACTCGAGTTCGATTCACACTCTGGGAATGGGACTGTGCCTTTTATCGAGTTTCTATCTTTACGCTAGAATACATCCCACACAGCAGAAATTAATCTAAACATACAGAGTCTAATTATAAGCAGCCAGCCTCCTATATGAAATAAGTTGTGTCAATGAGCACGTAAAGCCCAACCCTTTACAGACTAAGCATGTTTTAAAATTACTATACAGGCTCTAGAACGTTATCATAGTCAATCATTCATGCATATAAGCAATGTATTGAGCGCACACTGATATTGTTACGCTAAATTTTCTCTTAAATGAAGACGTTTATATTATGACCTAGACTGATCGTGTTGTAAGTACCGTAAAACTCCTACTAAAACAAAAACTAAATGATGACGCGGCGTTAGAAAGCGGATTTCTTATGCAGAAAAGTAAGGGGGAGGGGTTGTTGTTGTTGTTGTTGTTGTTGTTGTTGTTGTTGTTGTTGTTGTTGTTGTTGTTGTTGTTGTTGTTGTTGTTGTCTTTTCTTTTGTTTCGCATGTCCGTAGCCACATGAATGGAAACACTGCTTAAGTCTCTAGCAATCTTTTCTCACTTATTTCTCACCTGCGAGATGACGTCACAATCAGCGTGGCTCACCACTGCGTCACTTGTGTCTCTGGTGCTACTGGTGCGGATTGCTGCTGCCTTCACCTGGCGGCAGATACTGACAGACAGACCATTCCGATTAGAATGGTAAAGAGAGCGTGGTCGGTAGGCCTGCGTGTGAATTTGCATTCAGGGGGCTTACAAGTGGATTCTACATGCGAGAAGAAAAGAAGCTCTTTGTTTGTTTGTTTGTTTGTTTGTGTGTTTGTGTGTTTGTTTGTTTGTTTGTTTGTTCGTTCGTTCGTTCGTTCGTTTCGTAACTGCGTTACAGCGCTCGCAACGGCATAAGGTCACATCAGCGCCCGAGACACATTAATGCATTTTCACTTTGGGTAGGAATTAATTTTAAATTTTACTCTGATGGCAGCCGAGGCATACTCTAATCGATTTTAGGACCACCAAAGGATCTTTAAAGTGCGCAACTTGCACATAGGGCTTCCGAGATTTTTTTCGCCCTTATCTGAGAAGGCTAGGTGTTAGCTCATACCTACATTAAGATCAGGGTTGTGGATCAAAGACAACAATAAGAAAAAGCCTGGACTAGCTGTAGAAAGAGTCAGGAACCCAGTGTGTGTGTGTGTGAGGGGGGGGGTGGATATGAAATCAGAAAAGACTGACCACGATTAGTAGAAAGCAGGAAATGAGATGTAGGGAGATCATGAAGATTTTAGAGAAGATAATTAATTTTACATCGCTGTCAGGTTTCAGACCCCGAACCTATTGAATGAGAGGCGAACACTGTACACCTAGACCACGAGAGCACACGATCAGGGTTTGGAAGGACGATGTCAACTCCAAAACGGGGGTGAGGGGGGATATAAGTGCGAGTCAGAATTCGGTCATGTGATGAATTGTGATCACCATCATCAGCTAAAAGGTAATCACATCAACGATTCTATTTTTGCAAAAAGCAATCGAGGAACACGATGACATAATATGTAAGGAGAAAAAAAGTAAGGGGGTCGGGGAGGGTGGGCTCTGACAGCCGTCCCCAAATGATGTAAATTGTGTCAATTCTTTTCTTTTTTTTTTTTTGGGGGGGGGGGGGTTGAAAGGCAGTCAGCCAGCCGCGAATATAATTGATAGATCTGTAGAGTCGAGGAGATTTATGACTAACCGCAGCTCTGTCACTGACAGATTATTAATAACTGGGCATTTTGTACGCTTGGGTAACACTCTCACTCATCTGCAGTTACGTAGCTGTAGTAGTATGTAAACATACGGTGTACTTTTACGATTTGCTCACTTCTTCTTCTTCTTCTTCTTCTTCTTCTTCTTCTTCTTCTTCTTCTTCTTCT